CCCAGAGAGCCACACGGCTCATTCCTTCTCCTTCGAGTCTTTGATCAAATGCCATTTTCTCAATAAGGACTACCCTGACAACTCACACGAAAGATGCAACGCATCCTCTGGTCCTGAACTCCTGATTACTCTTATTCTGCTCCATTACCAGCTGCAATGGAACCTGATTCCCAGACTAATAGGACAAGCTTTGAATTCACACAGTGGTACCTGCTAGGATATCATCCACCTTCCACAGAGAATACTCATTCCTCTGGGCAATATCACCTTCATTCTTTTATGTTCTATTGGCAAAATCTCGATATAACACCTACTCCAACAATTCACTACTTTGGTGCAAGAAAGGTACCTGACTTTGGCTTTCCAATTTCACAACTCCCTTGGGTTATCAGACAATATAAGGGTTCAGGTGCTACTTTTCCCTATATGTAACCTGCACATGGCCAAATGAGTGGCTTTACATTGGGTACCCACTATAGCTTTTATCCCAGCATACCCCCAAAAGTGAGGGACCAGGATCCATCTTCAGTTTATAGTGGGAAGACAAGCCCCAGTTTGGGAGAGCAGTTTGCTTATAGGTGATCAGGACCAGGACAGTTGTGCAGAAAGGTCCTTACCCAAGTGGCTCTGGAGTAGGCTGTAGGTGCCAGGGTGGCTCCAAGTTTCCTGGACTGGCTGCTTGCTTTGGATTTGTAGCTGTCTGAGTCCTCCAATGTGTCCTCATTCCCCACTTATTTCTGTTTCCATGGGCCTTGGCTTGGCCCTTTGGCCTCAACTGTCCTGTCTGCCAAGGTCCTAGAACTGGAGGACCCCTGTGAGGCCAGCAGAGCTTTCATCTCCTGCAAGGCACAGGGCCGAGACTTCCTCTTCCTTGACAGCAACTGGCCCAGAGCTTCTCCGCTTGGTTTGACACTGCTCCAGAGCCCAGTGGAAATGTTCACACAAGAGTTTGGTAACTTCCCTGTATAGCTGGCTGCTTTGCTATGCACTTGGAGTTTTTTATAAAACCAAGGCTCACTGAGAACAGACAGGAAAGTTCTGATTTCATCAGCAACCAAGGGCGTGCCTGCTATTTTCCTGTCTGCCAATTCCAGCTGTTTTGTGTCACCCTTGATTTTTTTCCTTCTCCTGTTGCTGGTGTCTCATGGACTTCCACTGCAGTCTCACTTGTAGAAATCTCAGAACTTTTCTTCACTCTGCAGGAGTGAATATCTGGGGTCCTGTGTGTTTTCTCTGATCCAGCCCAGAGATGACATTCGGACCATGAACGGGAAACCCTGCCTGTGAAGAAGCAGGGAGGAGATATCAAGGACAAAGCCTACTGCAGAGAACTTGTCTCTGAATCTGATGGTCAGGAAGGCTTCTCTGAGGAGGAGTAGCCCAGAGAGGGACGAACTGATATGAGAAAGGGAAAAGATCTGTACTGAGACTGAAAAAGGGCTCTTGGAGCTTCTGCAGGGCCTAGGCATAGACGTGGACTGTCACAGTTAGGTTGTGTTGGTTTTTAATCTCTGTCACTCAGGACATCACAGCTGTCTGTGAACACATGTCCATTCATTTCTCACCTGTTCATCACACGGTCTATGCCTCACCGTTTGCTGTTTCCTGCTCTGTTTTTCTTGTTGTCTCTGTTTCCCTTCCCCCTCTTGCCCTCTCCACTCTCTTTGTTCCTACTTCTTTCAGTCTCCCACCCCCTCCCTTATTCTTGCTCATTGTCACACATACTGTCCATACTTATCGTGAATCCTCTGACTCCCTTGCTTTCCTTTTCTTTCAGTCTCTGTGTCCCTCTCTATGACTTCCTTTCTCTGTGTCTCTGTCTCGGTCTTTCTTTCTCTGTTTCTCTTTGTCTCGCTTACACTCAGTATTTTCCTGTTTATTTCCTTCTTTCCCTCTACCTAACAGGGTCCCCAGTGCATCTATCTGTCTCTTTCCTTCTAGGTTCTTTTGGACTCTCTCTCCTTGAACAACTGAACACATCCACTCTGGAACTAGAGAGAATACAGATCCTTACTTAGTGAGATGTTTCTGTTATTCTTCTGTGTAACACCCCTGAACTGGGCCCTCTGCAAGTCCAAGGTGTGTGCATCCTTCCTGATAGAGGGATACGCTCTGTCTTCAAACGTGACTGGCCCCTGTAATAACACTGGGGTCTGCTGCTACTGATAAAATAGGACCATTCTAGCTTGGGGTAGGGCAGAGACAGGACTACAGTCATCAGGTCAGGGACAAAGCAAGGCAAAGGAGATCAGGCCCCCAGGGGAAAGATAGGTTTGGATAAACAGCCATATGATGATGTCAGAGTGGAGAGAATGAGAAAATAACCCAAGATAAGTGTACTAAACCACATAAAAGTCTTTCTGGCATCTCTGGGAAAGAATGAGTTTTAGAGTGAGAATGATTGCGAGGTGAAATGGGAACTTCAAGAAACAAAAGATATCAACCACAGCTCCACCTGGATCTCAGCAGTCCAGAGCACAACACCTGTCTCCTGGTCTTGAAGACGTCTCTTCAAGGGACAGTTCCTGGCAACCTCTGGAGGAAACCAGTCTGGGGGAGAAATAGCCTCTGTTAGAGGGCAGCTTCCACATAACAGACACACAGAGCAGAAGTTCTGAGTAGGGTCCCTGGGCAAGCAGCATCAGCAGTACCTGGAAACCTATCACAATACATATTCCCGGGCCCTACCTCAGATCTACTGAATCAGAAACTCAGGGAGTGATGCCTAGGAATCTGTTTTAATAGGCCCCCAGATAAATCTGAGGTATACTCAAATTTGAGGACGACTGCCACAGCCGATGGCTTCTCTGTGTATGCAGAAGTTCCAGATGTTTCTTGGCATAATAGTTTTTTTTTTTAAGTTTTTTTTTTCATTCTTAAGAAATATGTGGACATTATAAAAAGAATAATTTTGAGAGACTAATGGTAGGCAGGAATCTCACATAACCCTGCCATCCAGAGATAACCAAGTACTCTTAAAAACACCACAGTCAGGCACTGTAAGAATAAACAAAACAAAACAAAACACCACAGTAACTCAAAAATTGTTTCAGACCAAGATAGAATGGCTGTATTGTTTTCCAGACCCCCATCTTCAAGAAATCTACAAAGGGATGGTTCATTTTGATGACCTATTAATGGATCTTCAGAGGACATTCAGAGGTCTGTGACCCTGGGAAGGTTAAAACACTTGGGATCTGAGCAGCATGCAGGCACAGTGAATGAAAGGAGCAGACCTGGAACACAAGAAGTCCTGCCCACCTACACTCACAGACCCCAGAGCCTCAGAAATCACATACCAGAGAGGGTACAGATGTTCCCAGAGATTAAAAGGAAGTAAATGCTAAGTGACAAAGTTTAAAAAGATATTGACAGAATATTTATATTCCTTAAAAAATACAAAAGCAAATAAACCTCTTAGGATTTTCCATTCCATCAGCAGAAGCTTGCCAATATAAACAGCATGAAGACACCATCTTTTCCTCCAGGATTTGAGTTATTTAAAGATGAGTTAGCTTTTAAAATTTATTTAGTGGCCTTTTGAACCATGCTTCTCTTGCCCAGGCCCACTTTCACATCTGGAAGTGTACTTTCCCTTTCTAATAAAGCTTTTCTTTTCTGCTGTAAAATAAACAAGCAAACAAATAAATAAATTTATTTATTTATTTAGCAAATTATAATGGCAGCTTTCAATTAAGCAGAAAAGGCAACACTGGCCTTTCGGCTATCTAGAAATGTATGGAGCCAAAGTGCTTCACAGAGACTTATAAAGATAGAGCCTTGGTCTGTCAATGCAATGGAATATTACTCAGCCATGAAAAAGGAATGAAGTAGTGATACATGCTAAATGAAAGAGGCCAGGCACAAGAGGTCACAGATTGTAGGATTCCAATGCTATGAAATGTCCAGACTAAGCAAATCCATAGAGAACAAGGAACAACTCCTCAGTGGGTACAAGGTTTCCTTTGGGAGATGAAATATTTTGGAACAAGATAGAGGTGGTGATTGTGCAACATTTTTAATGTACCAAATATCACTGAATTGTTCACTTGAAAGTGGCTAATTTTATGTTATGTGAATTTCACCTAAATTAAAATATTTTTTTAAAATAAAATTTGCGTCTAAAAAATTTGAGACAAGTAAAAACAATAGAGCTTTGGAAGAAGGGCAAAAATAATAGGAGAGATGCATTCTAGAAGAGATTAAACTGGATGGAGCAGGGATTTTAATGTCTTCAAATACATGAAGAATGGCTATGCAGAGGTGAGGGTAAACATGTCCACCTTAATAGAACTTATTCAGAAGTAACAGAATTAGATTGTAATAAAAGAGAATTTGGCTAACACATACAGCATGTCCACCCTATTTATATGCTATTAACATCAACTAATTTGAAATCTTATTTTGTGGATATAATTCAAAGGCCTTTATTCTGGAACCCAGGAGCCAACTCAAGCTCAGACCTGTATTTCCCATCGATAATTATTTCTCCTCCTCCTCAGGTGAAGGCGGAGGCTTCTACTTACCTTTAGACTGTTCCCGTGGTCTTTGCTGTGAGCTCCGTGACCCCTTCAAAGTATGTTCCTCTGGATAAACTTCCTGTTTCAGGTGGGATCTCAGTGATTCTCTAGTTGCTCCCAAAGGGGCTGTCTCCTCGAGGAGCACTTTCAAGTCCTTTCCAGAATCCAGGACCTGAGATGGAGTATTAGTCATAAACTGGACTTTACAATCCCTTAGAGTGGCATTAGAAGAGGATGTGAGACACAGGGCAGCAGAAGAGAAATATTCTCAGAGCTACTGTTAAAAAAGTGAAAATGAATAGAATTTAGTCACAATCACTTGGTCTTGAGTGATAAGATCACCTATATGAAAGCACCTAGCAGAGGCTGACACATCAGAAGTGCTAAAAGTGATATACATTTGTTAGAAGTGAGAACATCAGCTTCCAATTTAGAAAGCTCCTGTGATTTCTGCATAACTGCCATTTCCTCTCCCACCAAATCTGTGTATCACCAAGTGCAGTTTCACCTTCAGAATGTCTCTTGCATTGGTCCTCATTCCATCTCTGTTCTCTAGCCTGTTCCAGGACACTATACTGTCTGAACTGAGCAACCGTCATCACCTCTTTAACCGGCTGCCCTGCATCCTCTCTGCTGCTGGACCCTCTAATCCATTCTCTCTCCACGGAATCCAGTAGATTTTTTAAAAATGTAAGATAACCGTCCCTGTTAACACTCTTCACTGGCTTCTCACTGCACGTAGACTATAATCCAGACTCCTTTTCGCAGCCTGAAAGGCTCTACATGATGAGGCTACTGCCTTTCTCTCACCACCTCTCACATCACTCTTCTCCTTGATTCTGAAGCTCTAGCCACAAACACTGCCCTCTTTCTCAAACATGCAAGTCCTCTCCCAACTAAAGCTCTTGAGTGTGCTGTGCCCTCTGCCTGGATTGCTGTCCTCTCAGCTCTTGGCACAGCTCCTGCCCCCTCACAGCTCAAATGTTCCCTCAGAAGGCTTACCCCACTACCTGTCTCCCCCCAGTCATCTCTATCAGATCACCTTGCTCATTCCTTCAGAGCACCTATCTGAAACTATCTTTATTCATTTGCTTATTATTTGTTCCCCCGTGGAATGCATGATCCAGTAGGCCATGGACCATGCCTGTCTTGTTCACTGTAAAATCCCTGATATCTGGCATATTATAGGCACTTAAAATCTTTTTTCTTTCAGAGCCATCTTCCTTCTTTAAATCCCAAGCTTGTACCTTGTCCTTAAATGCTTGAGGAGAGGTACTGAGAGGCAACTGAGTCCTGAGAAACGGTATCAACCTGTTACCTCTTCTTACCTCCACTTCTTTCTCCCTCCTTCACTTTCATGATTGGTTTCAAATAGCTGTTTTAACCTTTACATTCCTATCCTATTTTCATTCTAGAGATCATCAACAAGGGGAACTGAGGCCAAGATGACTACTAGCATATAGGGTTTCCCAGTCCATTTAGTTCTTATCAAATTCTAACTTCATACATGTGCTCCTACCTGCCCTTCTCTATTTTAGTTATTAATAGTCCCAATCTCATGGATTTTAAACTAATTTCCTTAATTCCTAATCTAACACATCGCCACTACACTGCTCTTCTCTCTCCAAATTATGTCAAAACTACTCGGTCCTACAAAATTTCATCTGCATCCCCCTTCACCTCTCTCCCTGCCACAGCCACGTGTATATCCTGCCCTCCTCACTGTGAAACACAAGCACCCCCTATTCCAGCCATGCAGACTCGGCACCCAGAAAGCTGCTTCAGCTCAGACCACAGACGTACTCAGGCTACAGCATTCCTCTGATCGATACTCCTCTGTTACTCTATGCTTCTCCTAGACTTCTGTTTTGGATTTTAGCTGTCTTCCTTCTAACAAACCTCCTGCAATCAAAGCCCTCATGTTATTTTTCCTTCTCCTGAGCCTTTCACACTTCCCTTCTCCCAAAATATATGACAGTTACACTGATCAGATCTCAGACCTGATCCATATCTCCCAAGAGGATATTTTGTAATTCTCATCACTGTCTCTAACTGACCAGCTAATCCAGGCAGCAAGGACCAGCACTCTGTACCTTAGTGTACCACCCATGGCACTCTGCCCTCCAGGAACCTTTTAGCAAGAGAGATTAGATTTTAATTCATCTCTAACTTCCCTTACCTCTCAAGTGAAGGATAGTTGTCCTTTCCCTGACCTTGTTTTAAGTAACTTTTCTGAGTGTTTCTAGCACTTTAATTACGGACTCTAAATATTCATTGAATGTCTAAGTTATTTCAGTAAATGTTAAATTCTTCCCATAGACTAAAGGCACAGGACCAAGTCAAGATAGCTAATACTTTCTGGTGGGTGGCAGAGGGCTAATGGGCATTTCTCAACTAAGAGCCTCTCCAGCAACTGGATTCCTGTGCTCCTCACCCCAACTTCTTGATAACCAAAACCACAAGGTTCTGTCTTCCCTTTCTCACCTGTTGCTCAGGTACTCTCTGTACATCCTCAACCAGAACCACAGCTTCATCACCATTTTCTGGATGCTGCTTCCTCATCCAGGTCTGGATCTCCTCTGGCAAGATAGTGAGAAACTGCTCCAAAACCAGCAGCTCCAGAATTTGCTTTTTGAGTGTGTCTTAGGCTTTAGCCACTGACAACAGAGTTCCCAGAGTAAGCTAAAAGCTTCATGGGGGCCAGCTACCTTCCTGGTAGCAGAACTGCCTGAAGCACTGTCGGAAAGCTTTGTAATCAGGGCTGTTGCTATGGAGGGCTGTCCATGTGTAGAGCCCTTGCTTGGAGATGGCTATGACTGGGGACTCCTTGTTGCAGCCATCATTTGCTTGACAAACTAGCTCACTGGTTGCCACTTCTACCCTGGAGGTCAGATTCCATATCTTTACCTGTCACTAGGAGTAGTTTCTCCTGGATACCAGTGAAAGCAGTGTCTTTCTGGAATTAGTCATTAGAGTAACATAAATATGCAGACTCATGGTTGAAAAAGGCTCAACTTTGAAGGAAGAATGGAAAAGACAGCATAAAACTGTCTCACATTCCTTCTCTCTGCTTCTTGTGATTTATTTCTATCCTTTTCCTTTATTCCCTCCACAATCCAAGCTAAGGATCCAAAGCACTAGAAATATAAATATATTTTTCTCCCCAGCCAGATTTCTGTCTGCTAATGAATTCTCCAAACTACTTTTCACAGTGTAGTCCAGCTGTTCTTCCTCATAGTCCCCACATGACTGAGTCTTGTCTCTGCCCTCTCTTATGGTTAAGGAGCCTGGACCCAGGCCAGTTGTGAGTGCCTATTGATTAACCTTCTTCATCACTACGACATCCTCGTCCTTACCACCACCACCACACACACATTGTGATTGATAAATGATTATTCTGGTCTTCTGTATGCTACATCCTCCCCACCCCTCACCCCCCCAGCATTCTTTCCCCACTTCCAATAGCAGCATCTTCTTCCTTTTTAAAAGGGCTCCTCTCTATTCCTTTGGCTCTGGTGGGGCTATTCATTACAGTACCCTTCTCTCTACCCCATCTGAGAAAGGGTAGGCTTGTCAACGTTTTGTGAGTTTTTACATACAGATGGGATGGGAGAAGTTCCAAATTTTCTGGGAATTGCTAAATTGGGAGGATGTAAGGCTGAAGCTATTTGCAATTAGGTCCCATTCAACATTCCACTTCTCCACCAAAGGGGTGAGCCTATTTATAGGAGTAAGATATTTACTTAAAAAATGGATTCAGGTTGGCTTTTTTTTCAAACAACTTGAACTGCCTTCATTTATATTCTCTTTACATGTCAATGCGGCAGGAGGGACGAAAGATAGAAGAATCAAAGGCATTGTTAACTGTTTTTGTTTTAACAAAAAAAAGGTGCATCACATAGCATAACTTCTCAGCAGCAAGGCCAGGTCGAGAACCTGTACCCCTTGCCTTACACATTTTCGTACATCCCGCACTTTATCTGAAAAATAATAAATGATATCCTAGTTTCACGCAGAAAGCGGAGCCGGCACTCCTCTTGACTCCTGACATCCCATTCATAATTTTAAAATTCTGGTATCTCAAAAACGTGTTTCCATCTGGCGATGATCCACTCAGCGGACAGTAGGATGAAAATGGGGGCTGGACTGATTCATTTTCACTCGGCAAGGATGCACTGGGTACTCCTAGAGCACTACTCGGTGCTAAAGTTAGATACTGTGGCTGAAGTGGCGTAGGACAACATCCGCAGGTTCCTGCTTCAGCGATACAGGGATGAGATGAACAGGATCCAAAGTCAGAGGGAGTCCTGGCTCCGGCACAGAGATCGGAACTCGGCCTGGCCGACTTGTGTGGGCCGAGGGCAGCGGGGCGCAGAAAGGTGACCGTGGAGCGTGCGAAGGAGGTCTGGGCCTGGCCAGATAGCCCCGAAAAGACTCCTGGCGGCAAGAGGCCCCCAGGCTGGCACAGGGCCCAGCCGCCAGCCCCCGGCTAGGAACAAGCAGAACATTCACCAGAGGACTCCCTAGACTTGCTCAACCGCCGGGCCGGAAGTCAGCGGTACGAACCCAGGCGCTAGCACTCCCTCTGCGCATGCTCACAGGCCATACTACTGGACTACAACTCCCAGGGTGCAGTACGACGACGGAGCGCCGTTCCCGGACAACGTCGACAGGTCCAGCAGTCAATAGACGAGAGAGCTCGCCCTCGAGAAGGCAATCCTTCTGGGAAGGAGGGGACTCTCCTGTGGCGTAGCCCCTTGGCCGCTAGTGGGAGTGTCCGCGAAAAGAGGCTTCTGCCCCGCCCTCAGGCTGGCTCCTGGGTTCCGGTTCCCTGGTCCCCAGAGAGGTGAGTCCGCTGCAGGTGGGCGTGGGGTGCGGGGCTCTTAGCAACGCTGGCATCCTAGGCGCCAGCCTGGGCTCTAACCCCGCCACGAAGTTGAGCCGCGCACGGGAGTACGCGAGTTTCTCCAAGCCCAGGGTCAGCTGGTACGCGGGGCCCGAGCCGGGCGCCTTCGGTGCGCGGAGCGGCTGGGCCTGCGAATCTTCGGGAGTGAGCCCCGGTGCCTCCGTCTACATTGCTCGCAAACAGGAGGCTTCTGCAAATTCCCAACCCCCGACGTGCGCCGCGGCCTGTCTGGGCTCACCTTCGAGCTCCTGGCGTGATGCTGGAGGGTCGCCCTAACCAGGATGCGGGAGAGTTGGTGCAGGCTACCTGTCTGACAACTTGAACTTTTCCTAGGGATTCCTGTCAGCCTCCTAGGTTATATTGCACATTTCTTCTGAGACCTCGTGTTCTTCTCACTGAAATAAAAGCAGTATTTCTCCCAGTTTCTTTTTAGGACGGTATGACTTTTCTCCTTTGCAAGACAGTTCTAGAAACTGGTGGAAAGATAGATTCGTCCCACTCCCAGGGACTGTGTTGTCTTCATGTGTTTGGTGTCAAGGCTAGCTAATTAGAAGGCCCTGTCTGCATCCTGTCCTCCTCAACATCCTCAGAGGAGCTCCGTTTCTAGCATCTTTCTAGCATTCAGAAAGACTTCTCCAGGGCCATGATCCCTCAGGCTTGAGCTGTTTGCAAGGAGAGAGAAGCTGTCTCCTGAGCCCCAAAATGGCGGCTAAGATGGAGATAACTTTGAGCTCGCAGTCCCACATTCAGGCTTCCTCCAAGCAAGAGAGACACATCATAACAAAGCTAGAAGAGAAACGGGGGCCGGCTCTGCAAAAAGACTGTCCCGATCCTGAGCTCTCGCGCCAGAGCTTTAGACGGTTTTGTTATCAGGAGGTGTCTGGACCCCAAGAGGCACTCTTCCGGCTCCGACAGCTCTGCCGTCAGTGGCTGCAGCCCGAGGTGCACACCAAGGAGCAGATTTTGGAGCTGCTAGTGCTGGAGCAATTTCTGAACATCCTGCCCCCGGAGATCCAGGGTCGGGTCAGGCATCGATGTCCAATGAGCAGCAAGGAGATGGTGACTCTGGTGGAAGATTTTCACAGAGCAGCCAAAAGACCAAAGCAGTGGGTAAGGAGGGTCTTCTCTTGTGGTCCCCAGGATTTATTTTTCATCTGGATAGTGTTAGGTCTCTGGATACCTTCCTAGTTAGAGTCCACAAATGAACCAGGTGACTTCAAACATGTCTTCTGGCCTCTGAGAACACCCCCAACCCCTAGTTGTACCAGGTTTTCAGAAAACCCAACTAGTGGCACTCCAGTGAGGAAGTAGAGAATCAAGTAAGGTTCTTGCATCTTTGCTGACAAATCTCCCCCCATTCATTCCTCTTAAAGTTTTCCAACCATCGGGATTCTTAGCAGACAGTATTATCCTGTTGGGTAAGAGTTTGATTTGGGGTGAACTTCATTGGACCTTGTTCCAGTGAAGTGTCTTGCATCTTGCCTCTGGATCAGGAAGTCACAGCTCAATTGGCTAGTATTCTTTCCAACCCCCACTCCCAAGTCAGCTTAGTCATGGCCCAGGTAGGAAGTAAACAACCATGTGCTTTGGGGAATGGAAGCAGTTAAGGAATGGGTTAGTGCAGTCCTCTTAGAGCTCTGCTACCATAGTGCTTCCTAGTCCTACAGAGCCTGTTTCCAGCAGAGGTAGGGAGGCAGGTGGACATAGGATGAGAATCTGCTGAGCCAATGCCATGACTGACCCTGATGTTTGTGCCTATTCTCTTATGACTTTGACCCCAGGCCTTGAGAAAGGCCCAAGCTTTAGGGGCATCTACTCAAGAAATACTGGCTGATTTGAAGCAGCCTCATTTTGGTCATTCTGCATGTCCTTCCTTGTGCTTCCATTGAGAATTTTAGCGGTCTCTATCAAAGATGCCCTCCAGGCCGTTATCAGGAATTCCCAGGGTGAACGGGTCATTACTGAGCAGTGAGAGGTCAATCTGCCCTCAGCCAGTCCTTGAGCTGCACTCTGATGCATGGGTCTTGTTCCTAGGTGGCTGTTTGTATGCAAGGGCAGAAGGTGCTCTTGGAAAAAACTGGATCTCAGCTTGGAGAACAGGAACTGCCAGATTTTCAACTGCAAACTCCTAGGAGATATTCTAGGGAGAGCTGTCTGGAGGAGGAGCCTTCTCAGGCAGGACCTCAGGACCAGCTGAGCCCCCATCACTGGGAAAAATCTCCACTCCTCCTGGAGCCAGCCTCCAAATTTCCTGGGACAGGTAAACACTATGTGCCTCCTCTCTCCCTCTCATCAGTCCTTCATCTCCATCAAACTGTTCATGGTTCCGAAAAGCCATAGACCAGGTGTTGGTTTTTTTAATTTTATATGCAGTAGTAGATCTTTATTCTCTAACAGATTGCACTAATTAGAATGATAGTGATACAATACATAAGAAGTATGTTTTTATTTTCTGTTAATGATTATTTGACAATCCAGTGCACAACAAGACTATTCTAGTGCCTCTTTTTTATTCTGTTCAAGCTTCCTATAGTGAAGATGAATCCAAATATGACCACTGATGAACATCCATGCAATCTATAGCTGTATTTCATCGCTTAAAATGGTCTGAAAAGCCCCACTCATTATTTTCTGCCTCTTTTTCCTTCTCTGACATTGTCTATGCTTTAAACTTTTGTATTTCCTTCCCTATCTATCTCTGATACAATGCCAGTATAATTTCTGACTGCTCTACATAGTCCTGTGATTGCTAAGACTGACAGTGACACTTTGGCTAGTCTTGGTAATGTGAATACAGGATACAGTCAGCAGGTCAGAGAATAGAGTTACAAAACGAGAGCCTTGATTCTTAAGATTTGCTACGTTAATGGAACATTTTGGTTTGGTTATTCTTGGATCTCAGGAATGGAGAGGAACTGAGCCATCCAATAGAAAAGCATTGTGACTCTGGCTGAGGTCCTGCCTATGTGGTCCTGAAGAAAGTGGACCACACACACTCCTTTTTCCTGGCTTGGCAGAGGCAGCTGGGTTTGTGCAGTCTGTATCTCCTTTTGTTTGATACCTGAGACGGTAGATTCTCATGCTTCCCATCCCTAAGATCCAGCAGTGCCTTCTTTCAGAGCTGTACTGTCCAGTACAGTTGCCATGAGTCACATGTAACTATTTAAATTTTAATTTATTCTTTTGAGCCACGCTTCTCTTGCTCAGGCCTGCTTCCACGTCTGGAAGTGTACTTTCCCTTCTATAAAGCTTTTCTTTTCTGCTGTAAAAAAAAAAAAATTAATTTATTTATTGAAGTATAATTCACATACTATAAAATTCACTCTTTGAAAGCATACAGTTCAGTGGTTTTTAGTTTATTCACACACTGTGCAACTATCACCACTATCTAATTTCTGCATATTTCATGACCTAAAAAAGAAATCCATATCTATTAGCAGTCACTCTCCATCCCTCCCTCTCTACTCCCTGGCGGCCACTGTCTACTTCTTGTCTCTGGATTTGCCAATTCTGGACATTTCATGGTCCAGAATCATACAATGTATGCTCTTTTTGACTGGCTTCTTTCACTTATAATGTTTTCAAGGTTCATCCGTGTGGTAGAGTGTGTCAGTACATCATTCCTTTCAGTGGCCAAATGATATTCTATTAGTGGACATTTGTTTATTTATCAGTTGGTGGACATTTGGGTTGTTTTCACCTTTGGCTATTATGAATCATGTTGCTATGAATATTTGCGTACAAGTTTTTCTGTGAACATGTTTTTGTTTCTCTTGGCTATGGAGTGGAATTTCTGGATCATACAGTAACTATGTTTAACCTTTTGAGGAAATGCCAGACTGTTTTCCAAAGTGACTGTGCCATTTTACATTCCCACCAACAGTCTATGAGGATTCCAATTTCTTTACATCTTTGCTAACACTTGTTATTGTTGATCTTTTTGATTATAGCCATTCTATTAGGCGTGAAGTATCTCATGGAGGTTCGCGTTATCTCCCTAATGACTAATAATGTTGAGCATCTTTTCATTTGCTTATTCGCCAATTGTATATATTCTTTGGAGAAATGTCTAGTCAGATCCTTTGCTCATTTTCAAATTGAGTTTATCTTTTTGTTGTTTTAACAGTTCTTTACATATTTTGGATACTAGACACATATATATAATTTGCAAGTATTTTCTCTTGTGGTTTGTCTTTTTACTTTCTTGATAGTGTTCTTTGAAGCACAAATGTTTTTAATTTTGATGAAATCCAGTTTACCTATTTTTTCTTTGTTTGCTTGTGTTTTTTTGACATCTAAAATACCATTGCCTACTTTGAAGTTAAAAAGATGTACAGCTATGTTTTGTTAAAGAGAGATTGTTTTAGCTCTTACATTTAGGTCTTTGATCCATTTTGAGTTAATTTTTGTATGTACTGGTAGGGATACAACTTCATTCTTTTGCATGTGGAAATTCAGTTGTCCCAGCACCATTTATTGAAACAACTATTCTTTCCCCATTGAATTATCTTGACAACCTTGTTGAAAAGCAATAACCATAATTGTATGGACTGCTTATTTAAATCTGAATTTAAATTAATTTAAAATAAGTAAAATTTAAAATTCAGTTTCTCAGTCACACTAGCCACATTCCAAGTACTCAATAGCCATATGTGGCTAGTGGCTTCCATATTGAGTAGGGTATGTACACCTGCACACACACACATACACACACACATACACACAGAAACACATTGCCCATTTGGGAGGAATTTTATGGGACAGCACAGCTCTAGATCCTCCAACTTGCTCACAAGCCATTCCAGCTCTTTTCTATCCTGATCTTCAGTCCTGGTGGTCAGAAGTTGAGGAGTTTCTGTAATTAGTATACATATCTAACCCATATTCCAGTTTTCAAATACAAATGCTGTTAACATTGTAAGGAAAGAAAATGCCACATTCACTAGACTTACCATTATTTGAAGAAATGGTGATGGTCATTCAACGTCCGTGTAAGAGAGAGATATATTTGCAATGTTGAAATTCCAGCTCTCTTCCTTATTTTCATTCCTTAGTCAATACTCAGACCTTATGGGTTTGTTTTTCTTTATTTCTACTTTCCAAAACCTTTCCCTAAAGGTAGGAAGGAAAGAGGAGGTTGGAGAACTTGGTTCCTAACTGTAGTATGAATCAGAATTACTCCAGGAGTCTTAGCTGTGCAGATTTTCAGGTCCTATCCCCCCAGAGATTCTGACTCAGCATCCGTGGTTATGCTGGGGCAGCCTGCTTATTTGGCAAGTCTCCCAAATGAGTCTAATGCAAGTTGCCAGTGGAGGACCATACTTTGAGAAAGCTTGCAGTGCATTTCATAACTCTTTTGCTGAGATTCTTTCACAAAGCCCAGAAAATGAAATATATTCTTTCTAATTATAGAGGCCCCCAGAATGAAAAGTGAGAACAAGGAAAATCCCCAACAGGAGGGGACTAAAGGAACAAAGCCATGTGCAATGTCAGCTGGCAGATCCAAAGGAAGTGGTCTGCAGAGTCCTGAACCAAGAGGGGCTAATATAAGTGAATCCCGGTTGTCACGGAGGCAGGTCAGCCCCCCAAATGCTCAAAAGCCATTCTCTCAATACCAGAGACATTGCAGGGAACTGGAATACATCAGCAGCCCTTTAAAAAGCCACCCACTAAGAGAGCTGAAGAAAAGCAAAGGAAGTAAAAGAAGCCTAAGCAATCGTTTGCAACGTCTTGGTCACCAACCAACATGCTCAGCGAAGAAACCTTACAAATGTGATGACTGTGGGAAAAGCTTCACATGGAATTCAGAACTGAAAAGACACAAGCGAGTCCACACAGGGGAAAGACCCTACACATGTGGAGAGTGTGGAAATTGCTTTGGGCGACAGTCAACCCTGAAACTTCACCAGCGGATTCATACTGGAGAGAAGCCATACCAGTGTGGCCAGTGTGGGAAAAGCTTTCGCCAGAGCTCAAACCTTCATCAGCATCACAGACTGCACCATGGGGACTGAAAGCAGGGCTTTGTTCTTTCTGTTCAGAAGGAAGGTATTTGTGTTTCTCTTTCCCCTTAATTGCATGTCAATCACAAAGACTGTCTGTGACTTACAAGGAAAGCAGGAGGTCCCTGAGGAATGATGGTGCACATTTCACTGGTGAGGAGTCCCAGGAGAAACTGCTGGGGACGTGACTGTGCATGGTGACAAAGTGAAGAAATGGCAGTTCTGGGCATTGGGTGAAAGAGAACTGGGGTCTCTGCTGGACAGCGGGATATAACTACTGAGGGAGAACCAGGATGATCCTGCAAGTGCCCCCACTCCATGTTCAGTCTTCCCTGCACTGCTTTATTTATCCTCAAGGGTAAATTCTATATATAGTTATACATCTGCTGTTATACCAGATAATCTTTATCATGCACACACTTCTTTAATAAAGATGGGTGATCCACAAGAATTTCAAGGCAAAAGTTCATTGGACTATAACCCCACTAATATTCCTCCTATAATTCCTGGCTGTTCATAACAAACAAACAAAACCCTTGAAGGGAAAGTACAAACATGTTTGTACGAGAAGAGAGTTTCCAGGTAATTAGTACTTTTACCAAAATAAACACGTGTACACACACACACACACACACACACACACACTGAGGGATCTTTTTCGATCAAAGTACTTTTGATTTAGGCAAAAATTCTACACAGTTGCTGCAAGCCCATCTAAGCAGTAGGGAAAAGCAACAAGAAGAAGCAAGGAGTTGGTATAGACTGCTAAGGAGATGTCAGAGGGAATCCTTACTACTCCTTTCTCACTTAGGCCAGTAGTTTTAAGAATAGCAAAATGACTGAGCTGATAAAAATGTTCTAAAACTGGATTATTTCAATATGTTTACTAAAATCATTGGATTAGGTTAATTGTATATGTAATTTAAACCTCAGCAAAGCTTTTAAAAGTGACAAAATATACTTATATAAAATTTAAGGTCCTTAAACTGGGCATGAGAGAGCATCCTATCCCATCCCTTCATCTCTCAAAGTAGATATTAAAACCCAATCAGTATACAATTCTTAGTCACTCTGGGCAAGCCAGCCCTTCTCGGTTTAGAGAAAACTTGGTGGATGGGTACACTACCTCAAGCAGGAAACGGGTAGGTAGCATCTTCCTAAAGCATCTATATTCTTAGTTCACTGCCAGTCACATCAAGCCTGTGGCTTGTGCTGTCCCCTCCTCACCCACCCCCCAAAATACCATATTCCTCTTTACAGCAGAGGGACAAGTACACACACATGTATCCCTGCCCTCGAGGTCTTTGCACACACCTGTCCCTTTGCCCTTAGTACCTGCCAACCCTCCCACACACACACACAAACACACATTCCCTTCTTCCTCATCTCACAAGAGTTGCCTGCTCTGCAAAACTTTTTCTGACAAGTTCTAGGCAGTTTAGACTTAGTGGTGTGTCACTCTCTGCTCCATTCCACACACCAGTGGTGCTCAAACTGGGAATAAATTTGCCTCCCAAAGGACATTTAGTAATGTTTGGAAACACTGCTGGTTTTTAAGACTCCGGGGAAGGGAGGGTAGCTCCTGGCCTCTAGTGGGTGGAGACAAGGATATAGCTAAATGTCCTACAGTGCACAGCATGGTCTCCACAACAATCATCGGGTCCAAAATGTCAACAGTGCCAAAGTCGAGGGACGGTACCATACACAATAAAAGCTCTTTAAGGACAAGAACTTTGTTTTTCCATCATTTTAGCTTTTGGATTTAGCCCCTACCCAGCCAAAAGAAATAGGTGTCAGTAATTGAAGAGCTGAGGGCCCTTACTTTACCCTCAGGCCCCATTTCTGCCTGAATCAAAGATCTTGGTGACAGTCTATTGAATCCAGTCACCCTGGCCAAAGCCTCTTTAGTGCAGAGATGGACTTAATGGAAGCCCAATGTCCTTCCTCCTCGTTTTTGGTGGCCCTGTAGACTCTAATCCATGGTTCCCTTCCCAACAATGTTAGGTGTTAGAAGAGTTTATCTTCCTTTTTAGGTCTGTACCTTACCTCACTCCTGTCTGCTTCCTCTCACTGGTCAGAGCCTCTTGGTTTTTCATTCTGTTCCTACTTCACCCCACCCCTTTTTCCATACCAATTTCACTGTTGTTTCTTAATAACATCCCTAATCCTATTATCAGCTTCTTATCAGTGCTGTAATAGATGACCACAAATTTAGTGATTTGAAACAACACAAACATCTCATAGTTCAGGAGGGCAGAAGTCTGAAATCAGTTTCACTGAGCCACAATCAAGGTGTAAGCAAGGGTAGTTCCTTCTGGAGGCTCTCAGTGGGGTGAATCTGTTTCCTTGCTTTTTCAGCTTCTCGTGGCTACTTGTATTCCTTGGCTTGTGGCCCCTTTCTCCATCTTCAAATCACAACCCTCCAGTCTCTGTCACCACATCACCTTCTCCTCTGGCTCTGACCCTTCAGCCTCCCTCTTATAAGGACCATTAGGATTATATTAGATAATCGAAAATAATCTCCCCAACTCAAGATCCTTAATCATATCTTCAAAATCCCTTTTGCTCGTGAGTTATTCACAGGTTCCAGGGATTAGAATTTGGACACATTTGGGGGCCATGATTTAGCCCACCACACCTATATGAATCAACTTAAAGACCTCCTAAAAGCAAAGACACATAGATTTCCACTTATTTATAAGAGTTGGGACAGGAACTCTTCCTTAAATAAGAGCTTTGTTTGCTTGGTTTGTTTAAAGAACCTATGTATTTTTTCCTCTTCTGATTACAAAATCAGTAATTGCTGAATCTTAATGTCTTTGGGTAACTGTTCAACTGTGGACCTTGAATAAACATGACAAGATAACCACTCTGAATATCACTCATTCCCAAAAGGTGATGCTGCCTCACCTCCCCCAGCCCAGTTTTCTTTTGACAGATAAGGCTCAACTCCAGGTGAGGAGTGCCCGTGTGGGTCTGAGGCATGGAAGAAGACCCCTGGGCACTCAGCCACATATGCAGGTTTATACTCAATTCTTCAGATGTAGGGTTGCCCCCACCCCTATCCCCTCATCCATGTGTGGTTCCACCAGAGGGCCTCAGCACAAAACACTGACCTGCTACTTTAATAAGCTAACCCATATATGAAAATAATCTTTCTCCTCTGTGTGCAGCCCTCACCCATGGAACAATCTGTAAGGTCCACCATCTTGTCTGGGTTTGTCTTGTTTCTTACCCACGAGGGGGTGGGATGGCTGCTACTCAGGTAATTTGGTCCTCTGATTACCCCCAGGGAGACAGGGAGAAGGGAAGCATCCGTGCATAGGTGGAGATTTCTGGACCTCACAGATTTCTCTAAAAAGCATTTTCCAGTGATAGCAGATAAGGACTGGTAAAACCCATTCACGATACCATCATCACCCTCAACAAAATTAATAACTACCAAATACCATCCAATAAACTGTCAAAATTTCCCCAGATGTTTCTAAAACAAAAATGCTACTTCTTACAGCTATATTGAGATGTATTTCACATACCATAAAATTCATCCATATAAAGTATACAGTTCAATAATTAACAGCATATTCACGCAGTTTTACAACCATCACCGCAATCTAATAGAACATTTTCAGTAGCCTAAAGGAAACCCTGTCATCATTAGCAGTCAATCCCCATCCCTGCGCCTGCTTGAGCCCCCCTTTTTTTACTCAGCACAATATCTTTTATGATCTGTCCATGTTATAGCATGTACCAGTACTTTATATTTTATTGTACGGCTAGACCACATTTTGTTTATCCATTCCTCAGCTGATGAATATTTGGATTGTTTCCACCTTTTGGCTATTACTAATAATGCTGCTTTGAGCATTCGTGTACAAGTTTTTCTGTGAACATATGTTTTCATTTTTCTTGGGTATATACCTAGAAGGGAAGTTCTGAGTCAAATGTTGACTATGTTTAACCATGTGAGTAACTGACAGACTATTTTCCACCGGGTCTGTTCCATTCTACATCTCCACCAGTGTGTGAGGGTTCTCATTTCTCCACATCCTTGTCAACACTTGTTATTATCTGTCTTTTTGATTACAGCCATGCTAGTGGATATGAAGTGGTGTCTCATTGTGGTTTTGATTTACATTTCCCTGATGGTTAACGATGTTGGGCATCTTTTCATGTGCTTACTGGCCCTTTGTGTATCTTCTTTGGAGATATGAATGTTCTAAAACTATGCTGTTTTAAAACTGGGTTGTCTTTTTTATTGTTGAGTTGTAAGAGTTCTTTATGTATTTTGGAATCAAGTCCTTATCAGATATATGACTTGCAAATATTTTCTCCCATTCTACAGTAATATACTTTTTTGCACAATTGTAATACACCTCTTTAAAGTAGCTGTCACCTGCCAAAATACAAAAGTGACCAATACAGTCACAATTCCTGAATAGTGATTAAAACCGTGATTAAAAAATAGTGATTAAATAGTGTTCTCCAAATGTCATCCCTGGATCTAGAAATTCATTCGGGACCAAATAAGGGCAGAGCCAGCTAGAGGAACCCCAAGAACCTATCTTGTTCCTGGGGGGTGACTTGGGCTTAGTCAGATCGGAGGCAGCTCCGAAAACAAACCAGAGGAGTGGACTTTGTACTAAGCTAAGACCAAGGGATGACTTTGTACTCAGCTCTGTCATTCTCTAGCTCCTAGGCCTGGATGTGTCACTTAAATTTGCCAGGCCTTTTTCCTTCACTGGAAATAGGAAGCTCTCTTTTGCCTAACCACACATGACTGGCGAAGTGAACACATCTACGTGAAAGCGTTTTGTTTTCTGGGAAGTGTCATATAAAAGGAAGATAAATTATGCATCAAGTAAAACTGAGCCTGGACGTGGTTCCATAGTATAGCAGTTAGCATGTCTGCTTTACACGCAGAAGGTCCTGGGATCACGCCCCAGTGGA